CAAGATTCGCATTGCATTTCAATCGGTGATCATCGATCAATTCAATAATTGGTCATGGAAATGGAATTGTTGACGCATAGCAAACAATTGTATTTTTTACAAGACAAATTGGGATCATCGATAACTGGCCCTCGACAGACTTCATTTGAATTAAAAAATTTAATGATTAAAATTTGGTTGTATGCTGCCGTCAATCATTCAATCAAATTGCATTCAAATTGATGTATATGTATTCGGATATGAAAAATAAATGATCAAACGTATTTAAAAAGTCGTTTGTTAAATGAACGTTGACTGCCAATCGGCCAAGAGATGTGCCAGTGTGGGCGTCATAATATTTAACACTTGGCACACGATTTGCATTCCATTACACAAAAATAACAGTCAGCGAAGCCAGCCAAGTCGTTCAAGTCGTTCAATCAGACAACCATCATGAATGACAGTTGCAGTCAAAACAGAATTGCAATCAGAATTGAAAACGACGTTTAAGATTAGCAGCTAAACGGATTGGCGAGTATTTCTGATATTAATCCAATACAACTATTCAGTAGAATACAATAAAATGTGGAAATGCTTAGCATAGTTTGCATTTTGCATTGCATTTTGCATTTTACATATCGCAATTGCAATTTGCAATAGCATTTTCAATTTCAATTTCAATTCCCATTTCAATTTCGATTGCCAGAGTCGACAGCTCAGATAATTGATGATTATGAGTGTCGGGCTCAAAATGTCGTGAGCGTGTTATTGCAATACATATATTAGCATACATCTATGTATATACATATATTTGGTGTACCTATGCACATACATTGTTCGATTATTACACAGAAAGAAACGAAGGCAGTCGAAACAAAAAATGTTGCCCATCTCGAGTCGAGCATTCTTCATGCCAGATTCAACAATTTTCAATGAAGTATGATCTATTCGAGTAAGCTCGACTAGCACATACCTTAGCCGAAGTTTATTGAATTAGCTAAATATTAATGTATGATTTTCTAACCGATCTTTTTTGAAGTTCTTACAATAGATCAATGTGAGAACAAAGTTTATGACCGAATTTGAAATATGATATAAATGTATAATATTGCTATGAGTAATCGATGCTTATCGATTGAAGTTATCGATCAAATGAAATAAGCTTGATCTGAGCAATAACTTTTATTCGAAATATCTAGTTTTTATTTTCTCTGAGATCTAGACGGCTGTTGATGTTGATCCAGAATATATATACTCAATGGGGTCGAAGATACATCCATCTGTTTGTTATATTTCTTTTGCACAACTTCATTCAATAAATCAGCCTGCATTTTTTATTATGGTTGAATATCTATTTTAAGTTCGAAGAATATATTCAATGAGTATTCATTTTTCATTTAATTCTCTCAGTGTATGGACAGTGTTAGATTGGTTGGCTCGTAAATCAAATGAGCCAATGTTAGTAGCCGTTGAGAGCAGTGAGGATGGAGATATCATCTCTCTGTTGTCGATTCGTGCCGCTGTCCAAATGTGGGCGCTTTGCTAAGGTTTGGCCACATATCCAAATGCAATGCAATATGCTTGAGCTTGATAGTAATGCAAATGACAAATTCCCCGTCCTCACACCTCACCCGTCCTCAACTCCTGCCCCCCCTTTGCCTACCCCTTGACGCTGACGCTACAATGTGTAAAAGATCCATTCCATATAAAGCGCTTAAAGATGCCATCTCCAATCTTTAATCGCTGCACGACAGACGCCAACGCCAAGCGCCACTTGGTGCCAAGTTTGGATTGGATTCGTTTGTTGGATTGCAATGCAATTGAATTGAATTGAATTGGGGTTGGGGTTTGGGTTTTGGGTCGGGCTGGGGGTCTGGGGTCTGGGTTGGGGTCTGGGGCTTAAGTTTATAGATACGATCGCTTTTGGCCCTTGCGTGCTTACGGTAGCTGGTTGGCCTAGAACTGTGGGCCACACCCACCACAGAGCAATGACAGCCGCACCACCACCATTACCACAATACCCCCGTCCTCTATCTCCCCCCTCTCGCTCTCCATCACCCTCTCTCTCTCCTGCTCTGTGGGGCAAATGGCGACGTATTCATTTGTTTGCTGTTTGCCAATCAGCCTGTCAATAATTGTCAACAAGGTGTGACTATGCCAATATTTAATTATTCGATTTCATTTGCTTTTCATTGGCGTCAACTGCGCGGCAACCAAAGCAAAAATGTTAACAAAGGGAGGAGGGGTAGGCAGGGGTTTCTCTAACCAACTAAAAGTATGTGCCCCTTGGTTCTATGTAGTGCTGAGATACCCTGCAACAACAAAGCACTGCTCTTAAATGATAAATGCAAAAGCATCATATGCTAACCAGGCACATTAGATTCCATTTAATGTGATCTATTCCAGGCATTGCAGTTAATCGGGGTCACCCAGGACATATTTTATTCACTATTGGATAAGAGAAGATATTGCAAAACGTATTAGAAATTTTTAAGGGTTATCAGAATATGTAATATGCTGTAAATAGTACGAGGTATCAAGCAATTGCTCTGTCTCTCTCTCTCTCTCTCTCTACCTCTCTCTAGCTTTCTCTCTACTTCTCGCACTCGCAGTAGTGTTTGTCTTTGTTTTTGTTGCTTAAAATTTGTTAAACATTTGCGCAAAAACATTTGACTTGAAGAGTTGACTTGACGCTTGCCCATAAATACATGGGTGCAAAGTACTTAAGTACTCAAGACACTCGAAAGTACTCGATAGACAGACAAAGACTCGTACTTATGTTTTATGTGACTGTCGCTTAGAATTCTGATCAATTTGACTATGTCTTGAGTCGAATCCATTTTAAGGCACATTTGCAAGACCTTAACCTAAACCTTAACCTTAACTTTAATCTCAAGTTGATTTTCTATTTCAACTGGAAACGCAATTCCATTTTTGAAAGTTACAATCTTGTACTAATTCCAATTAGTTATTGTTATTAAAATTTGATTTAATTTATCAAATCTGACATTGCCAATTTTGCTTCCGGCGGATATAAAGATCATGGCTGTATTTCACTTGCCTCCAAATGGCGAATCTCGTTTGAAGAAATGGTTCTACATTTGGTGCCCTATTATGAATGAATGCGAAATGAGTTTCGAATGAATCATATTTGCTTTGAGGTTAGTATTCAGTGACTGAGCTGATGAAACCCAAACAAGTTTATATTCCGCACACGATTTCGAGTAGTTCCATCATTTTATCTGGAATTTCCTGTAATTTCCTAGTATAGTAAAAAACAGTTGCAAATTGTTATTAAAAATTATTTAATTTATATATATATATATAAATTCTTTTTATAAATTTTAAATTAACATTTTGTAGACTGCAAGAAAATCTATAAAAAAAAATAAAAATAAAAAACAAAGTTGAAAGCCTTGAAATTTCTTGAAAAATGGTTTATGTTTTTTTTTTTTTTTTGTTTATTGTGTTTTTGGGAGGGGAGTTTGTTTTGTTGCTGTTGCTTTTTTTTTTTAAATTTATAAACATTAAATTAAAATTATTAGTACAATTTATGGTTGCTTTTGCATAATTTGTTGTTTTTAGTATTTCGCAATTCAATTTTATAATCGATATATATCATATCATATCATATATATATGTTTTATGTATATGTATTGGTATATATCATATATGTATAAGCTACAAAAAAATAAACATAAAAATAATAATAATAAGAATAATTTAATAGAATAAAGTTTAATAAAAATTAATACAATTTCATTTCATTTTCATTTGTTTTTTTCCTTTTTGTTTGTTGTTGTTTTTCATGTATGATTTGTATGTGGTGTGTGTGGGTTTTGTATAAATATGTGTACATGGCATTTTCTTTTTTCTTTTCATTAAAAAAAATTTTTTTTCATTAAAACAAATTTTGTACATAATTTTTCGAAATATATTTTTTCGTTTTTTTTTTTTATACCTTTGCAAGGGTATTATAATTTTGTTACGCATTAAAAGTATATATATGGAATATATATATAAATATAGATTTTTTTTTCTTGAAATATGTGTGTGTATGTATGTGTGTGTGTGTTTGTGTTTATGTGAGTAAGTAACAATTAGTACAAAATAATTTCACATTGAAAATCTCCATTTTCAATTTCTTCTTCGACGCGTTTCTTTCTCTTTGCACAAAAAAAAATTGTTTGCTTAAATACTAAATATTTGTTATATATATTTTTGCCATTCAGTCAATCAGTCGAAACTTTTGGTTGGCCGCCGCTACGCATTGGGGCGCGGCAAAACATATCGATATCATCGATAACATTCCACATACAAATATTAATCGATCGCAGCTAAAATCGCGCCAAAAGCGTTTCCCACTGCATTTTGTTTCTCATTAATTAAAAAAAAAACACATAATTCTACATATATATTTATAAATAAATATATATATATGTGTGTGTGTGTACAATATATGTAAGTCGTCAAAGATTTGATAATCAGGGCGCTTTTTCGCTCGGTGTATGTATTTTTGTATTCTGTTTTTTTCGCTTTCAAATTGCAATTTAAATGTGAATTTAAATTAATTGAAATGAACAAGTAGTAGTTGAAGAAGAAGAAGAGCATGAAATTTTGATGAAATTGATGATGATTGAAATTGATGCAAATGAAGATGAAGATGAAGGAGAAGAACAAGAAAATGAAGGAGATGCAGAAGAAGAAGAAGATGAGTGGTTATTTAAAAATTTACTTAACGGCGGAACACAGCACAGTTTTCCATATCAAATTTACAAATTTCAAATCAAAGAAATTCTGAAAATGCTTTCGAGCTAACTTCTTCGGATAGAATTTAAAGCAACTGCACTGGTTATTCACATATCTGTATATATATACATATATATATGTATATGCATGTATGTGTGTGTATATATTCATATTTATATATATATATATATATATTTATAAATATATATATATATATTTATAAATATATATATAATGTTTTCTGTTCCTCTCTCTCTCTCTCTCGCTCGCTCGCTCGCAGGCTTTCTCGCTCGCTCACTCGCTCTGTGCATGCTTTCTATTTTTTTGTTGTTGTTTTGTTTTGTTTTGTTTTGTTTGCTATAATACAAGTTTACATTGTTCTTGCTCTCTCTTTCTGTCGCTCGCTAGCTCGCTCCCTGTCACGCTTTCTCGCTCTCGTTGGGAGAGTACACAAATTCTGTTGCCCCTGTTGCGCCTGCCAACTGCTCAGCTGCTGGCCGCCCGCTGCTGATGATGCGGCTGCCTCTTGTGATGACGTCGCGAGCGTCGGCACTGCGTCGAGCAGCATTCATCAATCGGCTGTGGTCCGCCACCCGCCCCCGTCGCCGCCTCGCTGCCGGGCTTGTCGAACAGGCGACGCTTGCCGGAGACGCGCGTCTGCTGGCACGTGGAGCGAGAGCAACGCTTGCGATCGCAATTCACCTTCGAGTCCTGTTCAAAAGGAAAAGATAAAAAAAAGAGTCACACATAAGTAAGGCAGTTGAACAGGGAGATAAGGATAATGGCAGAGGCAAGTGCAAGAGGCAGGTGAAAATCGAATGAAATTTGTTTTAGCTCTTGAAAGTGCCTGGGAAATTGTTGCTTTGGACTTACCTTGCAGCGACATTTGATGCACTTCTGTTCGCCGTGGGACATGAGCACGGGATGCCATTCCTGTCCGTTCTCGTAGATCTTATTGACGACCTTGCAGCCACCGGCGTTGAGTACCTCTTCAGCGGTATGGGCAGCCGAATGCTGCATTGCCTGATCGTGTAGGACATTGGGATTACTGGGCGTATGCTTGCTGCTCTGGCCATGAGTGCTCTGCTTGCCCTCGGGACAGACCTTGCAGCATGCCTTTTTATCGGGCCGAAAGGCCAACTTCTCGATGCACTGCAGCGGCGGGCAGACCATCCGTGGACAGCGCACCTCCAGCGTCAGAATATCACAGCTGCATGTGGTGCACGTATCGAAACCGTTCGGTGGCAAGAACGGATGCCAGCTGGCGCCGGCGGCATGAAATTGATCGCCCAAACGACAGCCGCGATGCGGCTGCAACAGATCGCTGCTGCCATTATTGCTGTGCGCAGCAATGGATGTGGATGATGTTGTCGCACCAGCTGCCATATGCCAATCGGCGCCATTTTCACCACGTCTCGCGACGCAAGTGGGACAACATTCACCCTCGCGCTGCAACAGTTGCTCGGTGAGTGGCTTGCACTTGAGTGCCGGACACTTGATTGGCTCACAATTGGATTGGCCACGCTGGCAGGCGCACATGTGGCACGTATCCTGTGCGCTGCGCCACTGCTCCGACTCATTGTAGAAACGACCCGAATGGAAGCATTTCGTTTCAGCGGTTAGCATTTGATTATCATTATGATCGCCCGGCACCGGCACATTGTTGTCCGTATAGATGGGGAAACAGTGGGCGGGCACCTTTGTGGACTTGAGTTTGCCACGCAGCAGCAGCTGGTGACTGTGCTTGGCATGCAACTCCAGATAGCAGACGCTCGTCTCCAGTTTGATTAGCTCCGCTGATGGCATGCCCAGCAGGAAACCCTCCATATACTGTCCGTTGAACTCCTCGAGCAGTTTACGTGTCACAGGCGCTCCAATTGCCTCAATTGGCTTCTCCTCCAGATAGAGTTGCAGCTCCTGCGTTGGCACGCCGCTCAATGTGATCTCATAGTGCAGATTGCACTCGTTATCGATGGACATCCAGGCCATGCCCATGCTATGGCCAGCAGATGCCGATGCCGATGCCGATGCCGATGATCCATGCTCCATGTGCTGCTTGAGCAGTATCGGTTCGGCAGAGTCTCGTGCATCGGCAACGGGTCGTGGCACGAGGCGGCCACGTATCAGGCTTGCCTCATGCTCGGTGGCCACATTGACGCCCAATTCACCCGCATATAGGGATTCGAGGACCTTGGGTCCCAGTTTCTCCACAGTGCCAATGGCCTGATTGAAATTAAAACTGGGTGTTAGATCTTCGAGTTTGGCCTTGCGTTTGCCCTGTTCCTCGATGAGGCTGATGTTCGGACGATCTCTGGTGTTCACATGATCCGTCTCAATGTTGTAGGCGAGCGACCCGTCTGTGTTTAGATACACCCATGCCAAGCCACTGCTCCTGGTGGTGCTCAACTCGCCGCCGTGCATCGGTGGTGCCAGCAACGTTTGGAATATCTCACAACTGGCACGCGTCACAATGTGGCCCTGAATGCGCAATTGGGGATACTTCTTCGATTCGACGGTGAGCAGCAGTTTGCCGCGCGACATTAGCCGCAGGTTCTGTATGGATATTGGTGAGGATAATTCGAGGACATTGATCTCTGCGGATGGTTTGCGCACACGGGACAATTCATCGAAAATGACTTCTTTGCGCTCCGGCAGCTCAATGCGGACACTGAGCGTTGAATCGGCATACTCCTCGGTGCCAAAGATGCCATTGAATACGAGAGTCAAATGCATTGAGCTCGCTGCCCCGCTGCTTGTCGAAACGATCGCTGTGCCACCGGCACCGGCCAGCTGTGGATCCGGTTTGCCACTCGCCGTCAATGGTGGCTCCAGCAGCGAACTAAACAGTTCCGTTTGCAGTGCCGTATATTTGGCGATCTTGCCGGCCAGGGCCAGTTCCGATTGGTGTTTGTTGCCCCACAGCAGCACCACATGGAGACGATCGTCGCGCAGAATGCGCTTGTAATCGCGTGGCACACGTCGCCACACGCCACATATTTTGCCCGTTGCATTCTGATAGACGCTGAGGGTGCCACTCAGTGTCGTCTCCAGCTGATGCTCCTCGAGTATAACGCCCGCATCGTCCACGAATTGTATGGCCCGGGGACGACCGATCCGCGCCGATGTGTAGAACGAATAATACAGATTCTTCTTGTGGAACAGAAAGCGTGCGGTTGCAACCACATTCTGTGGATTGTATGTCGTATACATGGACTTCATTTCCTCGCCCTTCAGGAAGTAGGATGTGCGACCCGTTAGCAGCGCTGCGTAATCTGTGAAACGAATTCAGATTGTGTGAATGGAATCAGTTAGAGTGAATGCATGAATGGCACCCTATGAGTCTGTGTGAGTGTTTGAATAAGTCGTGAGACGACCTGCTGAGAGACGACCTGCTCGCCCATCCCTTTTGAGCCAGAAGAAACTGAAATGTGTGGCAGCTGCTTATCCAAAGCGGATGTATCGCATTACTATATCATATAGCTGTCATTGGAGTTATCGGTCGTAAATTTGGTTTTTAAGCATGAAAAACGATTTGCTTTCTACTGTCTGCATTATGTCTTCTATATTATAGGGAATAACTTTTACTTTGAAGCTACTTGGCTTCAGAAGTTGTATTTTCTTACATCTGAATATGATTAATCAGACGAAAGCTGTATTAATTCTGATTCCTATATCGTTTAGTTGATATAGGCAACAATCGGACGAGGAATGAGTTTAGCTGCCTAAAAATCTAAACATTTAATTGTACTTAAGATCAGACAACGATATATATAATTGAACAAAACTTATGTATGGATACAGATTTATCTGGAAAGGTTATCGGCTAAAATTGTATAGTTTTTCTTTGTGTTTTGTTTTTGTTGTTTTTGTTCGTTTATAATTTGTGCTACTCACGTTTCATGTTGCGCTCCTCTTCCTCGCTGGGCACTGGCACATCCAAAGCCACATCCGTATCTGTAAACAAGAAAATAGAGAGATGAAGGTTAGGAACTGAACTGCTGAACTGTTGCTCTACTTAGATGGAATTTAGATAGCAGCTAAATAGCTTCAAAGAGGATGAGCCGCAACTCATGAATGCCCCCTGAACGTATGAATGAATCGCAATCTGAATAAAGGGCCAAAGACTCTCACACACACACACATATATATATATATATATATACAGGTAGCGCAGGAAGGATAAGCAGGGGACTCGTCCAGGTGGCATTCATTAATCGTGCATAAATTGAGCAGGTAACAGAAAACAAGAAACGCACACAATAATCAAAGAATTCCTAGAATTTCAAATACAAATATATATCTATCTATACATATATATATATATATATATACATATATATATTGTGTATTGCTCAAAAGAGTATGCAGCGTGAAAGTAGGTGGACAATTCTGGACGTGACAGGCACAACACACACACAAACACACACACACAAACACATACACTATTGATTGACAGCAGCAGCTTCGTTAGAAGCCGCTCTGCCCAAAGCTGATTAAAAACAGCACAAAAAAAGAAAAAAATGAAAGAGAAGAGAAGAGAGAGGCTAAAAAACAGATAAAAAGCTAAAGCTAAAGCTGAAGGTTGGATGCTGCTGCATTGGAATTTCGATTATATTTGCCGCCCGCTCAAACCATAGCTCCATCTCCCTCTCTCCCTCTCTCTCTCTCTGTCTCTCTCTCTCACTTTTATAGCCGCCTTAAGCCGCAAAAAAAGAAGAAGCAACAGCACACATAAACAAAAAAAAAATAAAATAAAAAAAAACTTCTTGCCGCATAATGAAGGGCGACAAATCTGACACCTTGTATAGCATTTTATTGGAGCCGAGGCCGCAGAGTTCGCTCTGTGTGTCTGTGTTTGTGTGGGGGTAGGGCTTAGCCAGGCCAAGAGCAAGCTGCGGTTGCTGAGTGTGTGTGTGTGTGTCTGTGTGTTGTTGCCGCATTCACAGTGCATCCCAATGTCGTCTGTGGCTGTCCGATCTTATCGCCTGATCTTAATACGAGCCACTTCTGACCGAAGCCGCTAGCCCCTGTTCAACTCGGCCTGCCCCATGCTCCCCTGCTACCTCTGCCCCCTCCTTGCCTCCTCCTTGCCCTGTTTCTACTTGTGCCCCTGCCTTTCTCCTCCATCTGCTGCTTGTTGCCGTGCTGCGTTTTTCAATTTGACGCGTCGTCTGCATCGCATTCTTTAGCTTATTGGCGATCGCCTAAAGATCGCCAAAGATCGCTACACTTGCAGAAAAATATGTTACATTATTCAAGCATCGATTTTGCCAAATAATTAGCAATATGATAAAAGTCGAAAAATATAAAATATTGTCTTGAATCTGATAAATCGGGCATAAAGTGGGTAATTCTGTTTATGCGTTGATATTCATTTAAAATAATCTTTCGAATTTTGTCTGCCCTTTCTAAATTCGAGTATTGCATTGATGTTTTTTTCTGGGTGTAGCTGAGCCTCAACCTCAAGAGTTGAGGCTCAGGTCTCAGGTTGAGGTTTTTTCTCCTGTTGCTGAGGCCAGCTGCTCGTAGGTCTGAGTATTGTCGATATTGCCCTTGACTCGCGCTCCTGCTCCCGCTCCTGCTCCTGCTTCCCTGGCCCTTTCTCCAGCTCTTCCTCTTGCTGCCATTGCAGATGAATGAATTTCGTTTCGTTTCGTTTCATTTTGATGCCGTGTGTGGTTGCTGCTAGTTGTTGTTGTTGTTGCTGTTGCTGTTGCTGTTGTTGCTGTTGTTGTTGTTATTTCGGTCTTCGGGTTGGCCGTTTTTGTAAGCCAAGATAAATGAGTTTTGGTGCGCACAAAGACGACGACACGTTGCCCATCATGACAACCACGCGAACGGACAGCGGACAGCGGCACAACGAGAACTGACTGAGTTGGCCTGGCTTGGCCTGGCCTGGCCTGGCTTGGTCAGGCCATGCCAGAAGCCGACAAAGCCAGAGGCTAAGACAAACGACACCTTCGGCCATTGAGTCAACGCTTTGGTATGTGACTGCCGCCATCTCCCTCTGCCACTGCCACTGCCACTGCCACTGCCTCTCTTTCTCGCTTACTAACTATCTCATATCACACAGATTGTGTTGCCACAGCTCATTAACCAAGAAAAAAAAAAAAACGACAACAACAACAACAACAATATAGTTTTGAAAGTGTTTTTTCAAATGATCTATCTTTCTGAATTGGGTTCCCTCAAAGCGTTTAGCATTTACTTATGTAGATCTTCAACGGAGCCAACGAAGGCAACCAGCTACACATAAAAACTTAACTGATTGCTGATTGGATTCGGATGGAATTGTTGTTGTTTATTGCCGTTGTTGTTGTTGTTGTTTGTTTGTTTGTTGTTGTTGTTGTTGTTCCATAGAATTTTAAGCGTTGTGTGTGGCTCGAAGGTTCTTAAAGTTATTAGAGCAGCGTCGTTGTGTGAAGCTTATACATATAAGCAGCTGATAATTCCATTAATTTAACTGTTTGCTAATATTGGAAAGTGCGAAATAAAGATATAAAACAGATCGGTCTTCACTCAAGCAGATAGATCAGAGATCCCTTGTCCCCAGCTCAGATTATAGACAAGATGCGACGGCTTCTATAAGCGAATAAAAGCATTTTCTATTTTTCTGCCAGGCTTCCAAAGGAGTGCTCTGCGAGGACTTTCAAGAGCAAAAGCTCTTACACATATACACACCCGACACACACACACATACACACACAAAGATACCTTGAGACACCAGAGCCGATTTTTGAGTTGGTAACAACTTAAATGGGATCGTGCAGCACAGTTTTTTAATAGACAGTTCCGTTTTGATGCCGTTGCGATAACGATAAAGTTGAAAATTTTATTGTCCCCGAGGCGCAGAGAGATACTTTCAATACATACTCACGCCCAACGATAAAAATCGATGTGTGTGTGTGTGTTTGAGTGTGTGTGTGTGTGTGTGTGTGTGCTTGTCCCTATCCTTTTGTGTGTACAAAGTGTTGTTGCGCTATGTGGATCGTTATTGTTGCAGTTGCTGTTGTTGTTGTTTGGTTTTTTTTGTTTTTTTTTTTTTGGTGTTGTTGTTGGGTTCGGGCGCCCATAAAATGCTCTAAAAAGGAAACCGACCACAAAAGATGTCATCAACTTGAATTGTCAGCTCTTAATGGACGCCACTCGACAGCCAAGAACTGAGAATCGACTGAACCGAGCAGAGTCAGTCGTTCAAGTCGAAGTCGAACAGTTTTCTGGCCTTATCGAAACACATCGCATTCGAATCGATCGATCGATCCATCGATCGTTTGCCTCAAAATCGTATATGAGAACACATTAACTTTTATTGTGTCTACCTGGTTTTTTAAACGTAAAAACGTTAACCATTCCCATACCCATACCCATTCCCATTCCCATTCCCATACCCATTCCCATTCCTTACTCCTCCTCCAACGGCAACTCCTCGGCTGGTCTGTCTTGGCATTTGCGGTGACCGCCCGCTGTTTGTGGCGGTAAATGAGATAATTTAATAAGCGTTAAAATGCTCGAGTTATGTCATTATAAAAATAACGAAAAAATGCATAAATTAATGCTAAGAATCAACAGAGCACCGCAGACAGACACACAAATACACTTCGACAAAAAGCTGGCCAAGAAAATCAGACTAAACTCAGCTCCAAACTCCTTTCGGTGGTGTTTTCTTGTACACAACCAGATTTAGCATTGGCAGTATTTAATATATGGAAATTTCGACGCATATTTCGTGCAAATCAGGACTTTTTTGTTGAATACTTATTTTTTTTGAGTGTAGACGGAGACACAGAGTCGAACTTGAAGTCGATGCTTGAGCTGCGTGGATTGCAGTTTGCCCCAAAAATGGGCATTTAACGTTGGCAATTTCGCCGTTGTTGTTGTTGCGCGTTGCAGATGAACACACACTAAACTTGGCTTGTAGCAGTCTTCTTCTATAAAAATTTATATATATATATATATATATATATAATATGCATGCCTTGCTTGGACAAAAGCTGCTGGCTGGCATGGCGTAGACCAAGTTAGGCGAAAAAAAAAACTTTGTTAAATCAAAAGCAGGCTTGCTTGTGGTTGTGTGTGTGTTGTTAAATATTTTTACAATAGCCTAGACTGCGTGAGAGCGAAGCGGCGGCATGCGGCATGCGGCATGTGGCATGTGGCATGCAGCGAGCAGCGATCAGCGACTCGAGCCAAGTTGGGGCCGCGCCCGTGCCTTCTAACTATTTATGGCAAACGAGTTGCCGAGTTACGGAGTTGCGGAGTTGCAAGTTTCCAGAGTTGCTGCCACTTTGCGGAGCTGAGGCAGCCAAACAGGCAGCAACAGTTGCTGCTGCTGCTGCTGTTGCTGTTGCTGCTGCTGCTGCTATTGCAATTTGACGTGGCAGCAATTTAAGCCAACTCTAAACGCCCCCTCAGCACACCCCTTTAGCCCCCTTGCCAGCCCGCCCAACTGTATAAAAGTGAAATCTCTCGTTTCGACCGCTCGTCAAAAAACCGCAAGAGGTGGACGAGGCGGACGTGGAGGGTTGGTGGGGAGGCGGAGTCGCTGGCGAAGAAGAGACAGAAGCGCCAAAGGTCAACGGCTTTGCATAAGCAAATGAAAAATTGCCGCAAAACGGAAACTAATGATGTGCTGCAGCAACTGGCAGCAGGCAGCAGGCAGCAGGCAGCATGCAACAGGCAGGCAACTAGCAACATGCAGGCAGGCTGGCAACTTGGCAGCAGTTGCAACCAGTTTACATGCCACACAGCGGCAAAACAGCAACAGCAAACTGGGAGACGCAGACTGGAATTCAGCCACCAGCACTCGGTTTGATTATGTGAAAAATGTCACACACACACACTCACACACACACGCACACACACTCACACGCACACACACACACACTGTGTAACTTTCCTCATAAGTTTTTCTAATTATGAATTCAATTCATGCAGAAAATTAGCAAAAAGCCAAAAGAATTGCTTGTGATTCAGTCGCTCTTTATGTTTGTTGTGTGTATGTGTGCGTGTGTGTGTGTGTGTGTGCGTGTGCTTTGTGTGTGATTTGTGTGTGTCTTGCGTGCTCATAAGCAAACGCATGAGCTTTAAGTCCAGAGGAGCATAACTTAACTTTCCGGGTATTCCAATTGTGGTGTAGAATTTATGCAACGATTTAAACAACTTGAAGAGTTGCCATCGAGCTTTTAGGGTTGCCAGCTAGTTTTGATTTGTCAGATACCTGAAGGACTCTTGATTACTTGAATAATCGAATTACACAAACTACGTTTTTCGAGTTGCGCTTGCCCCTTGGCAGCTGCCTCAATTTTGCTCCCCAGACGCATTTCGTGTGGCCGTGATCGATATAGATTATATAGCAACTATATATATTTAGTTGACTTTGAACCATGTTGTGGCAACGCAATCCATTCGTTTAATGTGGCACGTGTGTGTCCCCTGTGTATGCCAGCGAAAATAATTTCTGTGATTTCGGCGAATCGCAGCCCAATTTATCCAAGTTCTCCCATATAGTCGACATACCAATTTCGATAGTCACCCAAATATTATTCCCCATGGTGTTGTCGCATGATGTTCAGGGGCTGATATCAAATAAATCGTCTCTATAGTACAACAGCAACAACAATCGAGACGAACAACATACGAAACATCGAACAACATGCAAAAGTCGTCGAATGCTGCTCCTACATACAATAAATAAATGCAGAGATGGCCAAAAAAAAACAAAAAAAAATTAAATAACATACATCAAGAAAATCATGGGTGAGTATGTGTGTGTGCGTGTGTGTGTGTTCCAAGTATAGATTGGAATATGATGTTGTGCACATATACATATATACATATATATATATATAAATTATATATATTATATATATTATATATATATATATATGTATTCTGGGCGACAACAGAGCGGACCAAATGGCATAAAAAAGAATTATAAATTGCGTAGCGTTGACCTTCATTTCGGGCCAAGTAATTTTTCATAAACAATTTACGCGTTTCGGTTTTGCGAGAACGAAAGAAACGAATTCGAATCCGAGTCGAGTCGAGTATTCGAAGACGTGAACTATATGTCTATATATCTATGCTATATATGCTCGTCATATGTATGTGTTTAGCATGTTTCTTCTCTATTTTTCTTCCTTTTTTTTTTCCTCTGTTTATTTTTTTTTTTTATGGTCTATGTCGCGACGCGTCGCTGAAAAGTGTTATACAGCTGCGTTTGCTGCTACGCTTAATTATTCATACATATGCAGATATATGATCTACACATACATATACATATATATAGACATCATTTTGCCAAATTTCTCTACAAGCAGCCGCCACATTTTTAATATGTCACCCATATATCTGTCTATCTATCTATATATATATATCTATATATAAATATGTCTGATATCGCCAAATCACCCTATTCAATATTTTTCGTTTTATTTTGTTTTTATTGTGCGTAACAAACAATTTGCATGTGTCAAAATATTGAGATATTTTCACATATTTATAAATCTCCCCCACATACACACATAAAATGCTTTGAACACGCTAAGACCAAAAGAACTAAACCAACCCCCCCACAACCAACCAACCCCTCCCCATACGTAATTAGACAAGCATATGACGCATATGTTTGGCATGATCTCTTGAGCGAAAGTGTTCCTTAAACCAAGAGACAGAGACAGTGAGATAGTGTGAGAGTGAGAGGGGTAAATAGTATCTCTTATGGATATGCAATATGGTTGATGCTTGGCACTTACCGGTACGATCGCCTGGACAGGTCTTGCAACATTTGCCGGGCAATGAGATGGGATCATCGCATTTTGCTGGCGGACACTCATTCTTGATGTTGCGACACTGGACGCGTGCAACAATGCGTCGCTTTTTGGGTATCTACAACAACAAAAACAACAAGAACAAGAATAATAACATGGTTAGTATAAAATCAGAAAAGAAAAGAAAAAAAAAGAAAACGAATGAACGCTGGATAGCTTTATGAAATGCTGGATATATACATGTATAATAGAGTCAGTCGTATATTGCCTAAATCAACCGTCTTTTATTTGCAACTCTGGTTAAATGATAATGAAAAAAAAAAGTTTGGTTTTAATTTTATGTTTTTATTTTTTGTTTTTGTATCTCATTAGTTATGCTGAGTGGATCGCCAATGTGTCACTTCTGTCTGCCTTGTGCCATTACTGTATATTTTATTTATTTTTTATTTACTTTTTATATAATTTTTGTAGCCACAAAATTAATTAGCGCTGCCATTCGCATAACTGAAAACTGACTCAAATTCTTGATTTCTTTTTATTATTATTTGACTGTTGTTGTTATTGTTTTGCATTTATTTTCTACGCCCTGTAAACATAATGAACTTGGCACAAATACCCTGTTCTTCACTAAAGCTTGCGTATTCTTCTAAGCCACATCCCTCAAACAACTGAGCACACTCAGCAACCATTCAAGTTGTGGGCCTTCAATTTCTTGTCCATATATTTTTAATATATATTTCTGACATATTCGTATACGATTTTATGCACAAGTGCAGGGTATCTTCTCGTCTCTAACGTCTATCGACTCACAAGTCGATGCGTTGCTATCTCTTTCTGTCTGTCTCGCCGCTCCTATTAAATTTAGAACTAAATCAAGCTGCGATTTTCTTAATATAAATATAAAAAAATATTTATAATTCGTATGTTTTTTCTATTTATATGTTTTTTTTTATATTCTTATTAATTCATTTCAGATCTGCGCGAATCCACTGAGAGGTTACTTTGTGTGTGTGTGTGTTTGTGTGTTTGTGTGTTTGTCGTTCTTCTTGTCTTGTTTGATGTTTATATGAATTTCTTGTTGATTTTTATGGGGCTGACAACGTTGTTGCTTTTAATGGATGCTATATCGTAGCTCTCAAGTTCTTACAGAAGCAGAAATTATTTTATGATGTGCCTCGTTTAAAACGCTTGCAGCCACATAAATTATAATTAATTAATACACAACTGACTAAAGACCAAACACCAAACCTCATCCAACCCCATCCCCCCATCCAAACAAGAACAAGAACTGACCGAATGACCAGTGCCTGGACAGGCGTCGATACAAAAAGCGAGGGAGGCAACTGAAGGGATGCTGGTGCATCCAACAATTTGCCAAAAAGTATAACTCAGTCATGAAGTAGACACATATTTATAGCTTTATAAGCTTAAGTTCAGTAATAGGTTTATAATCAGCATTTTTAATCGTATTTTACTACATCTTTTCTAAGAAAAATACATTTCATATGTGAATTGATTAGCTTTACGGTTGATTGGTTTTATTATCGAAAGATAAAGTCATATCACAAATGAGAGTCAGTTCCCGATTAATCATCAAAATAAATATATGACGACTATATTTTATATATGCATTATTTTCTCATTATTTATTTCTTACAAATAGTTTGCTTCGGAGTATTGGCTTGAATCGTTTACTAAATGTATTTCTTAAAAGGTGCTTCGATTTTTTAAGTACGCTAATTGGGTTTATTGGTGGGTTGTCATACACGCACTCACACACACACACACACACACACACACACACACACACACACACACACACACACAGGTGTGGGTCCATATACGTCTGTTGTCTGGTCGTTGGCAGACGCACAACAAAAACAACAACAACAACAATAATAACAAGAAAAATATGCCAAGACTTTATGGCGTCAATTAATTTTCGGGGCCTGCCTTATAAACATGTATACGAACTGATATACACTTAATATATCCCACATACGGTTATATATAATCCATATATAATATATATAAATATATATAATCTTTACAAATGCTGCATGTAATTTGTTGTTGTTTTCATACTTTACGCAGAACTTGAACGAGGACACAACTTGGACATTTTATTGTTGGTCGTTTGGCTATCTACATCCACCCGTACCCCTGCCACCTGACTCCCCTCCCCCCACACTGCCCATTCACTTCCTCGCTTTTGTATGCGTCGCTTTTCACACTTGTTTTTCTCGCTCTGTCTCTGTCTCTCTCTCTCCCTCTCTGTCTCTGTCTCTGTCTCATTCACTCTCTACGTAATTTGTACGGCATTGCAAATTCTTTTTGCGTAATTCGATGAACAACAACAGAAACAACAACCACAGCAATGACAATGTTAAATTTGTTTTTAGTTGAGTTTTGGCAAGGCTTCCACACACACTTGAGCGTGTCTACTAAATGTCGGATGTATGGGGTATATAGGCTATACAAAATACTAGAAACTACAGACTGACAGACAGACAGAAAGAGACAGAAGGTGAGTGTAAGACTGAGAGAGATTCGTCTTTCGTTTCGCATTTAAAAAGAGCTTTCAAATCAATATTAATCATGCGTAAAAATGCCATAAATTATGCGCTTTGCCATCTTGCTGCGACACAGCAACCTCCTCCACCTCCACCTCCACCTCCACCACACCCCCAAACACCATCCCTGCCAGCACTGCTCCCTCAAGTTAGAATACGTTTTTCGCTAATAATTTACTTATTTATTATTTTATTATATTCTTTTTTTGTTTGGTAACTGTGTAGTTTGTCTCGCAAGTGTTGTAGTTGTTGTTGTTGTTGTTGCTTGTAGCAAATGTCGGCGGTCATTAGTCAATTAGTTGGCCGCCTATCAGCAGAAGCAACAACAACCACAACAACAACAGCAGCAACAGCAGCAACAAGAATCGTTTTTGACTTGACTCAATTTGCTTAGGCTCATGGCCTGGCTGGCCCCAACAAAGATCAAAGATCTCAATTTCGTATCAGTTTCGATTTCTGCTATGTATATTTGTATGAATTACATAAACTCTGCAAATTGGCTTAGCTTAAGTTGACGAAAAGCTTCTTAAAGCTTTCCACAGATTATCTAAATGTATCTAAAAGCTCTTAAAACACATTTGAATTGTAATCAACTTTAAAAGCACCTCAGTCTCACTTTGAAAACATCTTGAGTATTTTGACTGCGATTTTCTTTCGTATTTGGAATGAATCAAGTGTTTGAGATGAATTTGAGCATAAACTTACCGCGACACATTCACATTTGATGCAGTACATGACGCCAAATGGCGGTCCCAGGTCCGCATACCAAGTGGAACCCAATTCACGGAGAACTTTGCCAAACTGGCATTCGGTAACTGGAAAGACAAGAAAAACAAAATGCAAAAATTTCAGAAATCAGAAATCAGAATCACAACATTTAAATGAACTACAAAATAATAATAACAATAATAATAATAATAATAAAATAAGCAGAATGAAATCGCAATCTTTAAATTGTTCCTCCATTGCTATAAAAGTGTATATTACATTTATATTACGTATACGTATTTATATATATCTATATGGTATATAGCTATTTGTTTTTGTTGTTGTTGTTGTTGTTGTTTTTGGTATGGGGAATTGTGGCGCCATCTAATTGCATTTGACCATAAATGAAATTAGTCAATGCCTGAGCCTATCTATAGCTCATAGACATGTCGACCAAGAGAAAGGCAGAGAGAATGAGAGAGAGAGAGAGAGAGAGAGATGATGATGCACTAGGTGAGTGGAATGGGTTGGGGAGGATTGGTGGGGGTGGCTAAAAATGTTGTTGTTGCTGCTGGCGCCACATTTAGTAGCATCAGCAGCAGCAGCGCTTCCGGCAGCAGCAGCAACTGTTGCTGTTGTCACTGGCGCCAACAAGTGTCAATTTGTTAACACGAGGGGAAAGTGGAGCAGGGTGGGCTGCAGCCAACTCTGGCAGCAGCTGACAAAAACAGCAAACAGCACATTTATTTTGTCTTTTTAGCGGCATTTTTGTTCTTATTGTTGTCGTTGTTTTTGTTGTTGCTATTGTTGCTGCTGTTGTTGCTGCTGCTGTTAATTGGATGGGCCACTAAAATCGGTATGCAAATCGTTGCGAAGCGCGTTAAATTATTAATATATTTTAATTACCCAGGCCGACAAACACACAACACCAACACACGAACCAAAAAAAAAAAAAAAAAAGAAGGAAAATTACAAATGCTAAAACTTTAAACTCTTTGGCGCCACACATCGAACGACGGCGACGCCAGCCCATAAAAATAGCAACAAAAAAAGCAACAAAAAAAGCAACAACAAAAAATCACGTATGTTTATATAAACCAGAAAATGGCAGTACGACTTAAGGCTGCCCTAGAAAATTGTTGGCCTTTAATTTTCAGTTTGCTTGCGATCTAATAGAATTATAATTTTTGCACAGTTTAAATTGAATTTTGATTGCCAAAGTTAACAACGGCAGCTGCTATTTGAAGCACATGTGTAGGGTATCTGTGTGTATGTTTGTGTCCCATGGCAGTGAATGAGCGTAAATATATCAGTTAGAGTGATGATGGATTGTTGTTTTGGCTTTACAAATGTTGCTCTTATCATTGAATAAAAAATAAAAAAAACGGCACAGCTGCTGATTTGGTCATAAATACAAAAACGAACAATAACAAATTAAAAGGCAGCAGCAACTAATTAACTTTAAATACGAGTGCGACAAATCAGCTGTCGAAGCTATCACGCCCACCCAACCACCACCCCACAGACAACCAAGCAACAATAACAATAACAAAAAGCCAGGGGCGGCATTGCCCGACATGGCGTATACGTGATAAGTGGCGCTAACGACGCGCGACGTTTATCAAGTGTCGGCCTTATTATAATTTGTTGTTATTGTTGTTGTTGGCGCCAGTTTTATTTGCGTGCGAAAATAAAAACAAATACACTCTAAATGCAGGCAGCAACAACAAGAACAACAACAACCAGAACGAGAAGAGCAACAACTATGTATAACAACAATAGAAACACAATCACAAAAGACAAGACAGATTTCGAAGCGTCTCAGCGATTCAAAAGCTGCCGATTTACGCGCAATAGATTTATAAATATTTATACACATACATATATTTTAATACAACAACAAAAACAACAACAACGACAACGTGATAATCAAAGAAATGCTCCGACAGCTACCCTAGAGCTGCCCCTCCTTTGTTGCCCCATTATAGTAACCATTTTAGTCAACATTTTTTGTTGCTGTTGTATTTGTTATTTGTTATTTGAGTTTTTTTTTTTGTATTTTTGATTTGTTGTTGCTTGCGCAATTTTAAAAATACGTTTACTCTGGGGCCGAAACGAACATATATAATTGAAATTTACGTTAATTGGCGCGCGGCAATTTTTGCGCTTGATTTCATATTTTTTTTCTTCCCCCTTTTGTTTTGCGTGCGCCTGCAAAATCAGCGTAAAATCTTGTAAATATTATATATTTATATATAAATATATATTTTTAAATATGCCTTCATGACCTTAAAAGAATGTAAAAATCGTTTTGGTTAGAGCATTCACAGCAGCTGTGTCTAACTGTTGGCAACAATGCTGCTGTGAGCATCTAGACAATGTTGCCATTGCAGCAATGTCTGTAAGCTTAAGCTGATCGGCAACATGTTGTCTACGTTCGATCGGGTTGGCAATCAGTTTGCTGTCGTCTTAAAGTGTAGCCAAAAATAGCAGCTTAGCAACAATGTTGCTGCTGCTTTCGTTCGCTGCTGCTGCGCTGTTTGTGCCGCTGCTGCTGCTGTTGCTGCTGCTGCTGCTGTTGCTGCTGCTGCTGTTAATAACAGAAGTCGAGCTGCTTGATTAACAGTCGCTCTTCCTGTTGCGCCGATCAGCAACATTGGGACCCGCCCCTCATTTCCGTTCAAACGTTCAATAACAACAACAACAACAACTGAAACAACAGCTACAACTCATCAGCATTTAAATGCAGCTGTTAATTATGCGCTATTGAGATCTATAGCTAAAATTTGCGTGCGTATGTGCGTGTATATGCTGTGTGTGTGTGTCTGCGTGTGTGTGTGTGTGTGAGTGTGTGTGTTTGTAAGTGTTGTTGTTATTTGTCTAGACATTCTTGATTAATGAGCGCAAAAATGTTTTTGCTTGGCGTAAATATGCTATTTCAACAATTTATTTTTTGGGCATTGCTGTTGGTGTTGCTGTTCCAGGCTATTTCTGTTTTGTTTTGTTTGTGCCAATTTCATTCATCGATGCATCTGACAAGCGAAACGTGCAACAACAATAATAAAATAGACAAACAATAACTTAACGTTGAGGCATGCGCAATTTGCCAAATTTATTGTTGTTTCATTTATTTATTTTATTTATTCTCTTGATTTATTCAATTATTGTGGGCCGCCCACGCAATAGCAATTTCTGAAGCATCAGCAAGTGCATTTTGGGTACACACACACATCTGCACACACATACACACACACACATATATATATATATATATATATATATTTTGCATATTTTATTTTTAAGTTTCATTTAAGACGAAATGTCTAGAAATAAATTTGCGACTATTGTTATTGTTGCTGTTGTTTGGCAGTGCATTGACTCACATACACAAACAGACAAACAGACAAACACACAACAAGCAACACCAACAAAAAGTGCAGCTGTCAATTAAGTTAAGATTTGATTTAAAAATCAATTTTAATTAAAGATGAACAAGCTTGTTGCGTTGTCCACAGCTTTTTGAAATATTCACACACCCAACAAAAACATATATATTTTTGGAAATTATTTTTGGGCCCTTGGCGACAATTTTTGCGTGGTGTACGAATAAGTATTTTAGTATTTTTTAATGCATGTTTGTTGCTTACGGCTTAGAGGTATATGCATATACATGTATATATAAATATATGTGTGTGTGTGTATGTGTGTGTTCTGCATTTAGAGACAAGCAACAGCAGCAGCAGCAGCAGCAACAAAAAAATAAACAATGTGCTAATTACAGTCAAAAGGCAGCGACAGGCATTTCAACTTCTAATAAACATTTGTGGGGCTGCCAACAACACGTGGCCTACAGTTTAAGTGTGTGTGCGTGTGTGTGTGTGTGTGTGTGTGTGTGAATGAGTGTGTGTCGTTTGGTCTTCCTCTCTGGTCATTTGTTTTAGGCAACGAAGCAGCCAACTAAAAATTCGCCTTGGCGTTTTCTTTCGCTGTTTGTTGCCAAATGCGTTGCTGACTCACATGACGCAGAACCTCTGCTGACGTCGCTGCTGCCGTCGACAGCGGCGTCGAACTGGCGCAATGTTGTGTATTTGTAGCCTAAGCACACACACAACACACACACCAAACGTACAGTCGAAAAGTGCCTTTGAAAATAGCTACTATTCTTCATTTTCCAATTTGCGTATACCCTGTAAACAGCAACAGCTGATTGACAGAGCAGCTAGACCTCTGGACTTTGAATTACATACATACGTATTAGTGGTAGTACTACGACATGTCCCGAAAAGATATAATGTCTAGGACAGGGTAACTGCCCGTTGAGCAGACTCTTTCGGATTGTTTTACTCATTTTTATTCTATTTTATTTGGCTGCGTGCGCTTTTAATTGAGTTAAAAGATCAGCACAGATCAGCATTATATAGTCTGGCCATTGGTAGGAAAATATAGTATATATATATATATAGTATATACATCTATATATTTAGTATTATTGTTGTTGCTGTTGATTTGAAAATGTTATTTCTGTTGTGCGCCTTAATTAATTGTTGCAAAATAATTAGCGTAAAAGTTAAAGCTCAACGCTGAAATTAATAAAATCAAATAAAATAAAACCGACAATAAATGTTAAAAAGAATGAAAAATAAATATATGCATATACACATATATATACTATATATAGTAGATCGAGAAATGCTGAAAACAGATTCAAGAGGCAACAATTTGATAGAATGCAATGTGGGCGGCAGCAAGAGCAAGGCGTGTGGAGTGGGTTGGGGGGTGGTTGGGGGGAGGAGTGTGGCAGGCAAACCAACCAATCGAATGACTTTCTTTCAGTTTCGGTTTCGGTTTCGGTTTTGGTTTCTTGTTGTTTGCTGTTTGTTTGTTATTTGTTATTTGCGTTCTTCAAAATTTGACAGCTACGAGTGTTGAACTGTCAATCAATCAATCAATCAATTGACCGATCGATCGTTGAGTCAATGAAACAACAAAAAGAATCAACCGAAACCAACAAACAACATTAAGTTAAACATACGACAGCAACTGAAAGTGTAAATAAGTATTTTTGGAAAATGCATTTAAATGCAACACAAACACAAATATATACATA